TTACTCAAATTTATATTCATGAAAGCAGATGTTAAAATTTTCACTTGTGGAGAAATAGTCAATATGAACATTTACAGACCTGGAAATCAGCAAGTACCTCAGAGGATAAATTAGATCTTACAATGGATAGGCAAGTTGAATAAGTCAACATGAACAAAAAGGTCATCTAGTTATGGGAGTTATTACCATTTTTATTTTTGGTACTTTCAGATATGAGTACAGTTTTTAAAAATGATAATATTTGCTTTTTTAGAAACATCATCTCCATATTGTCCTACTAAATTTATCATTGTTGCGAGAATTGTCGTTTATGTGTTGAGTGAAGCAGTGTGTATTAGTTAACCCTAAGCGTCAACTCCTGGTTAAGTTGGGTAAGTTCGGGGGCACCTGGGTGGCTCAGTTGTTAAGTGTCTGCCTTCGGCTCAGGTCATGGTCCCGGGGTCCTGGGATCGAGCCCCGTATCGTGCTCCCTGCTCAGCGGGAAGCCTGCTTCTCCCTCTCCCACTCTGCCTGCTTGTGTTCCTTCTCTTGCTGTGTCTTTCTCTGTCAAATAAATAAAATCTAAGAAAAATAGAATAAAAAAGATAATAATTTTTATGTATACAAATAATATATATGTATACTCTTTTGACAAAAGTGTCACACATTATAGTATATGTATATAATGTAAAATCCCTCTAGAATCTGTGCGTGGTCCCTATCCACTACTCAAGAGAGGTAATCAGATACCTGTGTGCACCCTCGGATCACTTGCATTCTCTCTCTCTATCTCCTCTCTCTCTCTCACACACACCTCTCTTGCATGCATATCTGCAGAAAGGTATAGTATTGTGTTTGGTTTTAGCAAAAAGTTCATCACACTGTACAAATGCTCCATTCACCTCTTGCATCAGATATCGTTCTTTGCCGGGGCAGAGAGCTACCTCATTCATTTGCTACAGAGCAGTCCAAAACGTGGATGTACTGGTTTTATTATTCATTTGTCTGTTGGTGGGCATCTAGCCTGTTTCCCCATGTTTCTACCCTTGGCACCAGTGCACAGTGAACATGCTTGTGCTTGTGATTAGTGTTCATCTTAAGTAAATACGTGAGATCACAGTGTCTTTAATTAGTATATATTACTTTATTGGCTTCTAAAGTGACCGTGACATTTTTAAAGAAAAGATTTCGGATTGTTTTGAAGAAGTTTTGTATTCTGGCAAGCCTGTCCCATAATTATTTTTTATTATTTTTATTTTATTTTACTGATAATGTATTTGTCTCCTTTAGGTAGCACTTGCAGCATATCATCCCAGATCAGTACCCTCTCCCTTTCTTAAAAAATAACCTGGAGGTCTCCTTTCTACTTAGAGTCACTGCAAAGCTTCTCCAATCCATGGTCCCAAAGTAACTTTAACATTCTCTAGTGGTCAATTTGCCAGTGAGACATGATGGCCGAGAGGCTTAGTGCTGGTTCTGTCAGCCTTGTGATCTGGGGCAAGGTATGTTCTCCTAGGCTTAGGGTCAGGATTGAATGAGTTACTGTATGTAAAGCATATGGCGGGGCATATGGTACATAGCGGGGACTCAGTAATTGTTGGCTGATTCTTCCATGTAGCTGCTGCCCGTTACTCAGCAAACACTATCTGCCTATTATGTGCTGGGAGCATAAAGATAAATAAGACATGGTCCCAGTGCTTGAGGAGCTTACATTCTAACATGCATGTGTTTGCTCAAAATCTAAGTACTTATTCCCTTCTTTCTATTTAAACTCTGTCCATGGCCTAGTTTGCTTTCCTCCCATGTCAGCTGACTTCTGCATCATGAAGGACAGCCTCTCACATCTTAACTCATTCTCTTTAATGGTGATTCAGCACCTACTACATCCCCAAATTATTGTTAAAAACTGGAATGCAGAGATGGTGTGTAAGACAATCTGTAAGGAGCTAACAGGCTCCAGGGAGGAGAAAAAAAAAAAAAAAAAAAAAAAAACTTCAGAGTTCTGCAAGACTCTTTCCGCTTCTCTATGATGGCTTTCCACCTGTGGACTTGCTCTGTTTTTACCTTGCATTGCCTCTGTTAATAAAGATAAATAATCTCCATTCTCTCTTTCTGGGGACAGAGGGTGAGGTGTTAGCAGCAAGGGAGTTCTTAATTCTCTGTCTTTATCAATGACATAACTCTTCGGACTATGCTTGTTAGGTAGGAGCTGTTTTCTTTCCCAGGACTGAAGAAAAACCAGAGGGGCTTAGAAATTCCTGGCCATCCATGCCCAGGTGGAACCAATTTGGTAAAAGAACCTTTTGCTGCAAAGGTTCTGCAGGTCACTGAGACCGATCGGTTCATACCCATGCTTCCCAGGGAGTTCTCCCCTCAATCCCATGAGCTTCTTTGGGAATGGCACACTTTAGGGAATTCTTGACCTAGAGTAGGAAAAGGTAGCAGTCCTTTATCCCCCTCACATAGATTCTTCTTTAAAAAGTAATAAATTACCTTTGATGACTCAGGGATACCTCCTTGCTTTGATTACCATTACAAGATTTATTTGGTTTGTTCGTAATAAGTGTATTAGGTTTGATCTTACTTTAAAAGCCTGTCCTGGCACAGATGTCTTGCTGAACTGTGAATGGACATCGAGGCTCCTTTTAAAGGAGACTTAAGCATTTGTTGCCACAACCGGATCTGAGCATAATACTGAGCTCAAGAAAGATCATTTTCTCAACAGAAATAATTTATTATTGCCAGAGGTAATGTGAAATTATTTATTTTTTCTTGAAGCATGTTTTTTGTAAATGTTTTCCAGAGATACGTGACTTGAAATTAATGACACTCTCCTTTGTAAAGACTTTATTTCATTTCATGTACTCTATTGACCCCCTGGGAGAATATCGAGTCTAGAGAGGAGAAAACAGACGTGGTGCCAAACAGCCACGAATGCCTCCAGTAGATGAGGTGTTCGCCTGAATGCTTCATGGGGGACTTCATCCCTATGCTGTATTTTGTGTTTTTTGGCATCTTTGGTTCATTTGTGGAAGCTTGTCTGTTAGAATTCCATATACATTTCATTGGCTTTGAAAGATATTGGGGTTGACATAAACCTACTGAAAGGAAAGTTTGCATCGAAAGTAATACATTTCCTAGTCAAAGAAAACACCGTTGTTCTGGCATCAGTGGATGTGATTTTTGTTTTCTTTTAACTTCCCAGTAGTAGTGAAGCTATTTGGGTCAGTTATCTGGTAATTGTCAGAAGGAAAGTTATATGTATATTTTACTGGTTAGTGGTTCAGACTGGCCATAAAGTGGGAGGGAAAAGAAAAGGACCTTCTTCCCCCACACATGAGGTCATACTGCTCATCACAGCTTTATGAACATAGTAAGAAACTGAAGTCATCTCTGACTGAGGTTGTCGAGTTGGAGGCGTAACATCTCCCAGAAAAGAACTTCTGTGAGAATTCTGAAAAATCTGTTGATGGAGGCTTCTGCCCATTTAGTATTGTCAGCATATTACTATTGATGTCTTACAATTTCCGGTGTACTTCTCACATAAACCTATAGTGCCTCAGCTAGCTGCATTTTCATTATTTTCCACCAGTCCCACCGATTCAAACTTCCTTCCTTTAACTGTTTGCTTTCATCTTCTCTAAGCCCTGGGGATTCTTCTTGGCTTCCAGAAAAAGTCCTCCTTACTCCCTTCTCCCACTCCCCATTTCTCTTTACATAGCCTTCTTTGTCTAAAGAGTGTCCTGGTGATCAGCACGCTGTGACAGAGTGTGTGTGAGGCCTGGTGGGTAACGGCTGACAACTGCAGGTACGTGTCCAGGGCTCTTAGAACCTTAAAAACCTTCTGCCGTATGAAATAGGATAGGGCCAGTCTTTCTTCTTTTGATTGCTTGCTTTCCTGATTGCTCTTTTGTAGAAGATCCAGTATCTCTTCTACATACTCAGTCTGTATTAGGAGTGTTGGATTTCTCCATAACTCCCCTCTCCGTCTCGGAAATAGACCCAAGGCTTCACTCAGGACCATAAGATATAGTTAGGGTGGCATGACAGATAGAAATTAGTGAAAAGTTTAGGCTTATCCAAAAAAATAAATGTTTGATACATCTGGGACTTCTTCAAGCTGTCCTCTGCTTTATATAGCAAAGGACAAAATGAATCACTCCATAACAAGGGGTCCTAAGAGATACCAAACTCAATTAAAATTGATTTAACTTGGGGCACCTGGGTGGCTCAGTCGGCTAAGTGGCTGCCTTCCGCTCAGGTCATGATCCCAGGGTCCTGGGATCGAGCCCCGCATCGGACTCCCTGCTCGGCGGGAAGCCTGCTTCTCCCTCTCCCACTCCCCCTGCTTGTGTTCCCTCTCTCGCTGTCTCTCTCTGTCAAATAAATAAATAAAATCTTAAAAAAAAATTGATTTAACTTCTGGGGAGCTGTCCAGATTATACTCCACAAATACTAATATGATAATATCCATTTTAGCCATAAAGCATCTCATTGGATCTCGTGTCTCTTTTCCTAGATTATAGATCATGGGCAGTAATAGACTGTCTCTCGAACCAACAGAGTGTAGATCTCACTGCTTCAGATTTCCAGCACGGAAGGCGAGCCGTGAAGAAGTAGGCTCACATGGCTCTGTTGGAGAATGGCCGTACACGTGACAGGCGGCCTGGCCTGGACTGGGGCTAACCTTTTCTCATTTAAAGTTCTCTTTTCCCTCCAGAACTCATTGGAGAATCATTTGCATGTTATATTTCATCTGCATTTATCTCATCCCAAGCTCTTCATCCTTCTGTTGAGTTACATGTTCTCCGGAGTAAATGTTTTCTACTGTCTGACAGTGTAAAAAAAAAAAAAGAAAGAAAGAAAAGAAAGAAAAAGGTGAACGGTGGCACAGTTAGCATGAAAAATGGTGAAGATAGGAATAGAAAATGGGAAAATGTATGTCACTCTGGAAGTTCTGTACAGTATAAGAAAAGTGGAGCAATCAATTTCTATTAACATATATATTCTTTTAAATTTAGGAATAGACGGACAGTCTGTGGAAGTGTCCAATATCGTGGACATCCGAAAAGAACATAACCGTGAGATTGCAATGAGAATTTCTTCTAGCATAAACAGTCAAAACAAATTTTATACTGACCTGAATGGATATCAGGTAATTTTCTCTTAAAATGTCTAAGTAATAGCTGTGTTAGTGTGTAACTTTTATATATGGTAGTGGGCCAGTTAATTTTGGATCCTTTGAAAAATATGCTTAAGTTTACAAATTATTTCTAAAGGAAAACTGAATTTTAACAGGTACTTATAGGTTCTATATTCAACCAGATGTCCAAAGTTAGAACAGATATTTGAGAGATTGGTTTGTAGAGCATCTGATTTACGGAGGTAGTTTTTTCAAAGGCAGATTTGGTGACCATTTGCATGTTAAATGCCTTGACACCAAAATATATCTGAATTTGTTTAATAGAAAGGAAACATAATTAGGGATTGGTGGAGTATGTATTTTTCCCCTCATAAAGAAATGGTATGTGTGTATTTAATTTATTACATATATACTTTTAAATGTATAATGTAATAATGGGCTCTTTTAAATTTCAGGAAAGCTCTTTCCCTCTTTTTATCAATAATGTATGTGTATTTACCTTTATGCACACACTTGTGTACATATACATAGACAAAGAAATACAAGCACATATATAGAAATGTGGGCAGGTATGTATTTAATCAAAATGTTCACAAAATAGTTTGAAATAGTAATGAGAAAATTGACTCATTTTTTTTCAGATTGTTAGCTCTCTAATTTAATAGGGCTCTTTTGATTGTTACATAAATTTCTATATTCAGAGTATATGTGTGTGACAACATAGCTTTGAAATACTACCACTAAAAACATTAGCATGTTTTTGAGACATTAGCATTTTAGAAATTTCTGGCTATGAATAGAAATAATTTCACAACAAATGCTTTTACTTTGTCTGATTTTCAACTGGGATGAGTGGAAGGGGTTGTGATAATTTTCTCTTCTACAATTTCCTGCAAAGGTTAAATTTAAACCTGTTCCAAAGCATAAAAATTGCATTATACACTTTGAATTTACATGTTAATTCTACCACAGCTGTTTGGTTTTCAAATGAAGCCCTGACTTTATGGTGATTCATTTTCCTTGTGTACAAAAGAAACTCTTTTCTTAAAATCTTACAAAAGCAATTATTTGTATGTGTGGGTGTATACATGAATGAAAAAAACTTAGTAAAAGTGAATAAACATGTGAATTTTCTTTTCAAGGATCGAACATTTGAATAAATGGGAAAATATTATTTCTAAACTTCTAAATTTCTAAATTTATGACCTAAATATGTCTGCTTCTAAAATAGGCCATTTTTTAAGCCTTGGAAAGAGTAGTCCTTGAGCAAAACTAGAAATCTAGACCAACAGGTAGGGAGTGAGGGTGGCAGCCCTATAGTCATGACAGTGTGAATGTCCTTTTCAGTGAGTATACAAGTTAATTTGATTGGGAAGATCCAGATTGGAAAGGAGAAATGGAAAATTCTTTGAAACTCTCTCTTCTTTTTTCTTTCTTTCTTTCTTTTTTTTTTTTTTAACATTTTGCAGTTGTTTCTTCAGGTTCATAATTTCCTGGGCCTGTGATACAAATTACCACAAAATGGGTGGCTTAGAACAACAAGAATTTATTCTGTCATAGTTCTGGACACCAGAAGTCCCAAATCAAGATGTCTTCAGGGCCACACTCCCTCCAGAGGCTCTAGGGAAATACTCTTCCTTGCCTGTTGGGGCTTCTGATGGGCTTGTAGACCCATCACTCCACTGTCTGCCTCTGCTGTCCCAGAGTCCCTGTCGTATTCTCCTTGTGTTGCCGTGTGTGTCCTTTCGTGTCCAGGTTTCCTGCTTAGAAGGACACCAGCCCTTGGATTAGAGCCCACCCTAATCCACTATACCTTATGTCTGTAGAGATCCTATTTCAGAACAAAATCACATTCACAGGTTATGGATGACCATGAATTTGGGGGACACTATTCAGTACAACCAGTAAGTTAAAGGATGCACTACAGGGTTGTTGTAAAGATTAAAGATCATATTTGTGAATGCCCGTACTTTGTCTCGTTATAATGGGCACTCAATACTATTACATTAACTTTGTACTCCTTTTCTTCTTGAGTGTCATGTCAGACTTGCATGAGCTGAACAGGAGAGATGTCATTTTTATGTGGTGTGAATAAGATACCTCGTAACAAAGTCTCTGTTTGATGTTTCCTCCTGAGGTTTGAGGGACTCTCCTCAGCCCCAACCAGCTTAGTGAATTTTGGGTCAAAAAATAAAATAATGTATTTCATGCATTCACATACCAGACCAAGAAAAGTTAAAATATGGAACTACCTACATTGACACTAAACAAGAAGAATAAGCACTGAAGAGTTTTTAAATATAAATATTAATTTGATTATTTTAATGTAATATGTTAGAGGATTTGATAAGGGGATCTGTGGTATTTATTAAAACTGATTCAAGAATTATAAGAGAGATTTTTTGAAAGGGGATAGAGAGCTATTATGCTTAGCATTCATTACAAAAGCAGTATGTTAGATTTAGATGAGAAATGAATACTTGATACCTTTATAATTTGTTTTATGCAAATATTGGAAAGCTAGAAGACTTTTGTTAAGGATTTTTATTCTGAATTAAATAGGAATGCCTATTTTAAGAACCTGGATAAGTTCTACCTTTCTCACCTAAAAGTTTTCTAAGATCCTCCTTATTTTTTTTTTCATATTGTTTGAAAGAATGTTTTAATTCCTAAATTAGCTCTTCCTTTGAACAAGAAAGGAAGCTATACCTTTTTCTTTTTGGAAGAAACGTCATCTGTAGTCAGTACTAATTTTTTAAAGTACATCTGTAAATATCCCTTGATTTCTTTTTTTTAAAGTGAACTGTTTGGTCTTATAGATTCAGCCCAGAATGACGATGAGCAAATTGCCTCTTCAAGCAAATGTCTATCCGATGACCACAATGGCCTATATACAGGACACCAAGCATCGCTTGACATTACTCTCAGCTCAGTCTTTAGGGGTTTCAAGTTTGAAAAGTGGTGCGTGTTGTTTGGATTCTTTTTTGCTCTTACAAGTTTCAGTTCCAAATGTATAATTTTTCTGTTGGTCATATTATTAATTATCATCTTCAGACACCAGCTATTAGTTAATTTTGGTTTTGTGAGAATAACATAAAATAATGTATTTCTTCAATCTTCTGATGAAGAATGAGGGACCTAAAGCTCCATGAAACCATGGCTTCTTAAAGATAATTTTTCTCTCCTGATAGCTCATTGTTTGCACAAGCCTCTGTCGTTGTCATAATGGAATGGCTGTGGAAACTCTCTCAGAAGCCAAAGAGGAGAGGGAGCTGGGGTAAAAGTTAGAAATTCCCAGAGTTGCCTAAGTTCGCAAAGGCGGGACGTAACAGTTCAAACCTAGGTCCTTCTCTGAATCGTATCGTTCTAGGGCACTTCTACCCGAAAGAAGAAAGGGAGTTGCAATGATACAGCTAGGCAGATAAAGAGGTGACAGACACAACTTTAAGGATTCCAAAAGATAGAACAAGATGGAAAGAGAAAATAAATCGTAAACACAGATTAATTTTTATAAAACCTTCTATGGAGAGGCGTATGTCCTTTATAATACATATTTTTTCATTATCATTTATATGTAGTCAAATTGCTCTTCTTTCTTACATATTAAGAGTTGCTAAGACAAATGTCTTAAGGAGCCAGGCAGATAATAAAGGTGTGCAGGTACCTGACGTACCCTTTGCCCCAAACCCACTTTTTTAATTGGGCATATACATACATTCCATATGTCCACCCACACAAAAAAGCATACTACTCATCTTCTTTTGTGGCTTTCATTACACAGACTCATGAGATGATGCCATAAAGACATTAACGCTGTTAGAAAAATAATAATGGCCTCACATCAGGGATGCAGCGGGGAGTGGTGGGGCTTCGGCAAACTGGGGCACACCATTCCCAGTGAACGGTGGGGCAGCCGCTGCTCAGCGCCAGGTTGTTGTCACCATGGGGAAAGGGGCCCAGGGTTGCCAAATTTTTCTGCTTCTGAAGAGCCCAGGAGTCTGGAATTTTTTATGTTTTTATTTTTATTTTTTTTGGAGATTTTATTCATTTATTTGACAGAGAAAGAGAGAGACAGCGAGAGAGGGAACATAAGCAGGGGGAGTGGGAGAGGGAGAAGCAGGCTTCCCAGGGAGCAGGGAGCACAATATGGGGCTCGATCCCGGGACCCCGGGACCATGACCTGAGCTGAAGGCAGCCGCTTAATGACTGAGCCACCCAGGCACTCCATATGTTTTGATTTTTAAAAAATTAAGTCAACTATTTATAGATTGGACAACTTCACATAAAATTCCTAAATGTGGTTTAGGGACAGAGGAGCTTTATTTCTCAGCTTGCCTTTGTCAAGGGAAGTGACATAACTGTCTACTCCATGATTGCTCCAGTCCTAATGTCTAGTTCCCTATTTAAGGACCCAGCTTTGAGAATTTAAGGCAACGTTTAAAAATGGGGGGCTCAAGAGTCACACCTGGCCCAGGTGCCCCTGCTACAGACAGCCAAGCACCCTAGCATTTCAGTACCTACAAACAGAAGAACAATTTGAGTACAGCCCAGGAGATTTACTGAGTGTCACATATTATGAGGGCTAACATTTGGAGGCAGGGAGAAGAGAGAAACTGCCAAGAGATTGATGTACTCATTTGGGTGTGACATGATCAAGCTCTAGATGGCCAATTCGTCCCAGTGCCTGAGGAGCACATTCTAGACAGTTGTGTTCTAAGATAAATATGGAGGTAGTAACAACGAAAATTCTGACCATCACTGGCAGTTTTATGTACTGGGTACCTAAATTGAGAAGAAAGAACTAAACAGAGTTGGATTGACTGTGTGAAAATAATAGTTATTAAAATATTTTATGTATTGCTCTTTTATGCCAAAAGATCATTTAGTACTGTAACAAATGTGAATGAGTGGATGGATGAATATGCATATATTTTTATGTATGACTAGGGTTTTTTTTAGTGTAAATATATGACTGTGGCTCTGGGTGGTTTTTTGCTTTGTTTTGGATAGGGTTTTTTGGTTTGTAGTCTCATAGCCTAATTCTTAGCTTACAACTTAACCTAGAGGAGGTGTGGAATTACTGCACAGCCAATGAAGGAACCAAATATGACCTCTTCTTGAACTAGAGGAGAGAGGATAGTTGATGCCACTAACTTAATACCAGGGAGGGAAGGGGGTACGTGCTGGGTGTCTCCAAATCCTGGGGTTTCTTCAGAGAATCACCAGATACCAAGTAACCAAAACGCTTAGTCTTTCAAATCCTTTTTAGATTCTACACATCTGTATTTGCCTTGTTACTCCAGGTGTGATGTATGTTTCCTAATGAACCTCATAAATGTTTTTAAATTCCAGGTGCTACCACTAAAAATTTTAGAGGACATAATTTACTCTTCAGATTAATTCTTTTTAAATTTCACTTAAGTTTTGATCTGTCTCATTTTTAAATTTCTTACCAAATTTTACCAGACATTTATGAAGAAGAATGGAAATAAAGTCCTGTTTTTTGCATTTATCCTAGCTGTTTTGAGAAAGCCCTTGGTACTTTGGGCTATATGGATCTGTCTCCTTGGCTTAAATCAGGACCGTGCCTAAACTTATGTGATTGTCACTGGATGTTTGTATTAAATAACTCTGGCCAGTTTGTTTGTTTGTTTGTTAGGTCAGATTGAAGTTATCATGGATCGAAGACTCATGCAAGATGATAATCGCGGCCTTGAGCAAGGTGTCCATGATAACAAGGTTACAGCTAATTTATTTCGACTACTACTGGAAAAAAGAAGTGTGAATACGGTAGGAAAAAAATAATAACTCATACGTTCTGATGTTGTTTGTTCTTTGCCACCCAAAATTTGAAATTATGACTGTCCACTTTTTTTATGATTTTCAGTTCCCAGGATTGAGATATCTTTATAATAGGTGTAGCCTATATTGACAAAAAAGAGAACTTCAGTTACACATATGTCAGATTTGCATTTAGGTCATCTTATTTTTTATTTTTCCTTATTATGTAGATGTAAAATGTTAAAGAATCAGTTTGGGTGAGATTTTCTGAGATTATTTTGAAAGAAAATAAGAGTTGAATTTAAGAATAGAACTTAATCACATACTTAGATTAAGTTTGATTAGTAAAATTTATGGGAAACCTTAGTGTGCTTATTCTAGTCTTAGACTCCTCAATTGAAAATGGATTTACTTGTCTATCTTCTTGCTCAGTTTTCATTTCTCAAGACAAAACCTCAGCATTCCATTAAAAAAATCTGGCTAAAGCTCAGTTGGATGTAAACCAACATGACAATACGCCTCTTCAAGGCTACACAAAAGTCATCATCACAGTCCTCCGTGCTTTACTGATTTCCCACCTCAGATGATCTGTACACAGCCCTTTTTTTCTCACTCTGCTCTCCTTCTTTCTTCACTGATCCATTTCAGATCTTTTCTACTCTTTTTAGCTGGTGGCCTCACCATCGACTTCACATCTGACAGGGCTCTCTGTTCTAGGTATCAACCATCTCCTCCCACCCTTTCCTTCTTCCCTCATGTTGCAATAGAGACATTTTTACCTTCCTTTCCTCCCAGGCCAGTACCTCCACTTGTCCTTGCAACGTACCCCAGCGCCCTCCTCAGCAGCATCATCCTCCTTCCCTCTCTCTGCCCTTCATAGCTGACATTTCCCTAGGAAAGAAACCCTTTCTGCAGGCTTTTAGACACTCTTCATTTTCTCCTATTAAAAATAAAAACCAAGGGCGCCTGGGTGGCTCAGATGGTTAAGCGTCTGCCTTCGGCTCGAGTCATGAACCCAAGGTCCTGGGATCGAGTCCCACATCAGGCTCCCGGCTCAGCAGGAAGCCTGCTTCTCCCTCTGACCCTTTCCCCTCTCATGCTGTTTCTCGCTCGCTCGCTCTCTAAAAAATAAATAAAATCTTTAATAAATAAATAAATACATACATACATACATACATACCAAAAACAACCTCCACACAGACTCATGTCCATTTGCCCTGCTCTCCCGTCCTGTCTTCCACACCCAGTTGAGCCGCTTTGGAAGATGGGTTTATTTCATTGCTTCCGTGTCACACTCGACTCATTTCAGATTTGCTTTAGCTTCCCCCACCACACACACACCCTTGCCAGTGTCACGAGATCCACCATCTTACTTCACCTTGCAGCAGCATTCGACACTGACCATGTCACTTCTTAGAAGACAGTCTAGCCAGGGCTTCCGTGGTGCCATGCTCATCTGGTTTTCCTCCTAGCTCTCAAGTAGTTCTTTATCTCTCTGATGGTTATTAAGCCGTTAAATGTCAGAGTCCTCAAGGGTTGGCCCCACGCCTTCTCCTTTTCTCGTTTTATATGTTCTCCCTCTGCAATCTCTCCTACTCCTGTGGCTTTGGTGACCACCTCTATGCAGATGAAACCCACACATATATTTCACCTCTTACCTGCAGACCCATCTACCTAGCTGCATCCTGCTATTCAGACCCGACATATCCATGATCACTCTCATGATCTCTCTTCCCTTCCCCCCAGACCTGCTCTTTTCTAGTGTTTGCTCTCTCGGGGACTAGCACCACCTTCCATCCAGTGCCACATACATAGCAGTCATCTCTCATTGATACTTCTCCTTTGCCTGCCCCTTTCTTAAAACAATGATCACCAGTGTTGACTATCTTATTGCCTAAATATTTCAAATCTATAAACTCGCTTATTTTGACCACCATTATCTAAACAAACATCATGTGTTTCCTGAATCATTCTGCTCTTCTTTTCCTGCCATATTTGTTCTCAAATCAAGTAAGCAAAGTGATTCATCTTTTCAAAATTCAATCTGACCCCACTGCTCCCTTCTTAACCCTCAGGTGTCTTCTCATTGCTCTCCAAATAAAAGCCAAAATCCTTCCCATGGCCTGAAGAGCCCCTCATGATCTGGGCCCTGCCTGTCCCCCAGCTTCATCCAGCATGACTCGTGTTATTTCTGCTCTAGGCCCACTAGTTTTCTTTCAGTCCCAAGTGCTCCCTACGCACCTGGGGCCCACAGCACCTTTGCATTTGTGGTTTCATTCTGTGCCCAGGGAACTCTTCATAATAGTTCAGGCCAAAGCTGCCTTGGTCAACTGCTTTTTCTTGACCAGGCCAGATCACCATCCTCAGTGCCTCCTCAGAATTGCGCATCTGTCCTCCGTGCATAGATGTGATTATATTTGATCATTGTCTCTCTCCTCTTTTGGACCATAACTTCATGAGAGTGGGGGCCATGTTCCTCTGCTTCTAGAATTGTTCCTGGTAGAGGAAGCACCCGATATGTGTTGCATGAATGAATGCACAAATGCATAAATGAGTGAGCTGTAATAGCGCATGGTGCCACCGCATTTATCCCAGCCCCTGCTTACTGCCTTGTCATACTCGGCATGTTCTCTTTCCCTGCTCCATTCCAGGGACTTGTCTGCTTCATTTTTATGTACCCCACAGGGCTCCTTGCCTATGGTAGCTATTCTATAAATAAAACACTGGTTGATTGAATGAAATGGCAACAGCTCATTAAAGCCAAGAATTCTTTCAGTATCTAGAATCTTTTAGGAAAAAAGATTTTAGTATCCATTTTTAGATGTCAAGATTTAAACCAGTTCTTGGGACTCATGGTTTAAATCAATTACTGACAAGATAGCTTAATTTGAGGACTAAAACTGCACAGGAAAATCATTGTCTGAGTGCTGGCAGCTACTGTCTTTTTCTCCTCCCGAAAATGTCTCTGGCTTTTATGATTTTTTTTTTCTCTCTATATAGACACTAATTTGCAAAGCTTCTATTAACTATGGCAATAAGCATTTTCATGTCAGATCTATAAAGCTTTCACTTAGAAGTGAAATAATTTGTTTATTCCCATTCAAAACTCCTTGGATAGTAATTGATTGAAATTTGATCCAGTGTTTGTATAATCCTATGTTGGTTAAATTTTTCTTTTTGCTCAACTATAGATTCTTGGACTTAAATCAATAGTTTCTTTTAAATAAAAAATGAACTAGAGAAGAGAAAATACATTTTAATTTCTAGTGCAATTGATTAAAAAGGCATTTGATTAAGGAATGTTCCATCTCCTATAACTTAAACTTTGCAGAAAGTGTTTTTATTTTCAACTCAGACTCTCATGTTTAAGATGTCGATGGTAGGAACCATGGTGAGGAGACAGTCTCTGTACAGGAAGGCATTTTAGTAGAAAGTCTTCAGCCTGCCAGAGCCTCTGGGAGGAGTTATCTGGGTGACTAAGTGGAACCGAATCCTGTTCGTGAGTGTTCTGCAGAGAGGCAGTGAGAACAAGGACTGGAATGATAATTGCTGTGAGATGTGCAGATGCCCAGTGGGTTACTGTAGCTATGTGAGGTGGACTATCATCCATGTGTAATGACCAACGGAAGCGGAAAGTGGGAATTGTCTCTTTGGCATTGACCCTTTAGGTTTTGTTTCTTTGACACTTATTCCCTATCCCTTCCTGCTGAAGACTGCTATAGGTAGAGGGCATTGAACCAGGAATTAGAAGTGCTGGGAAGTGTTCAGGTATTACAGTTGTGTCATTTTACCTGTGGATACCAGTTCTTTACATGTCAGGAAAAGGAGCTAGGAGAGATCAGATGAAAAGCTCAAATGCTGACAGGACTCAGAAAAGTGATGGCATGAGGGAGGTTGGTCAGGTTTAAGGGCAAACGCGTAAGTGAGGTGACCCCAGGTCTGTGATGAGTGAGGACACATCCCACCAAGGAGCTACAACTCAGCTGCACTTGAGGGAATATGGGGGCCCAGGGTGACTTGGGTTTCCAGTGTTTTGGGTTTAAAAAAAAAGTTACCTGTTTTAGGGAGTTTTTTTGTTGTTGTTGACAATTTCACTGTGAAATCTCCTGGATTTTTTTTCTTTTTTGAGAGTTGGCCAAAAAACAGACAACTTTTTAATACCATGCAGACCTATCAAAACCTATCTGTAGGCAGATTTAGCTCACAGATCACCAGGCTTCACCTCTGCGCTAAATGAGATATATTTCTAAATCTTATGATTCATTAATTTTCATCAATTATTTCTTCTGTCTCTTTTTACCACATCCTTTCTCCTACTGTATTTTTCTCTCCTTTATTTATATTACATTTACTTGTTGATAGATTAAGTTTAAAAAAACATTTATCAAGTTCTCACCATGTATCAGGTCATACTGAATAAGCCAAAGTGACTCAAAATATCCTCTCTTATTGTCTTAGATAATTTATTTAGCAAGTTTTGCTGTAGATGGATGGAAACCTTTGATGTTTAGGGATCAGATAACTTAAATGGGCTTCATGAAGGACACCATGGAGCCTAGCAGGAAGTTCTGATTTATAAAATAAGGGCTGGAACCCAATGGAGATCTCAACTTCTTGTGGTTTGGATCAGAATGTGCTATAAACTCTTTATAATTTCATACAGAATGCAAGAGAAAGCTAGATCTGAACAGCTTGAAGCCTTCCAACCCACAAGGAACCAAATAATGTTTAGAGTAGTATATTAGTACTGCAAGGCTGGAGAATTCATTTACAGCTTAAAATTTCCTATAGCAAACATGTGTTATAAGCTTTGGGTTTATCATAAAGGTTACAGTTAAAAGATTACCTTTCCAGGAGATTAATCAAAAGGTGATAATTCACCAGCTAAATATCTTGTCGAGCCCCTCGTTGCTATAAACATGTTAAGAAAGTGCATGAATCATGGAACCTTCTGTGAGATTTTGTCCCACCCTGCCTGGCCAGCTTCCAGCAGCGTTATTTGTTCGTGGTGCTTTTATAGCTCTGAACCACAAATCTTCCCTAAACTTCTCTCCCTTATCCTGCTTAGGACAGTAAATGGCACAGTTCTTGAATTCTCGAAGAACTTACAGTCATGATATTGTTTCCTTTGACGAGACTTAGCATTAACATGTTTCTGAGTCTGAATCATTTTCTTAATCCAAAACTAGTTAAAGGATGAGACTCAGACATTTGATTGCAAAGGCAGCGGTTTCTTCTACAAGGTTGGGAGGATGTCTGGGGTGATGGTTCCCAGCACGTGTCCACAGAGCTGTGTCAGACTGACCGAGATTTGAGACTCACTCTGG